CAGTTTTCTTTTCTAGGATATTCGTTTATTTAGCCTTTCAACAGATAACTGTTTGAACAAGTTCTTTCATAATTATTGCCGTTTATTGATATATATGTGTATATGTCGAGTTTGGTGGGCGGCCTATGCTCCTTCATGAGGAGTAGCAGGCGTAAGTTATATGTATATGTCGAATTCTTATTTTAATCAGAAAATTTAGAATATAATGTATACTTGTTTGTTTGTTTTTTAATAACCAAATATATTATTATTTCTAGATTGTCAAGTAACCAAACTATGCATATTCATGTTCCTTTTATTATGAGATTTATTTTGACCCATATACTATTACTATACTATTTACCGTTATTGAGTTATGCCCAGTCTATTAATTACAGTCTTCCACATTCACAGCCACATTTGGTTGGATCTTGTACGAATGCCATTTTCTATTGCATGGTACGATGTGGTCTGTTTGGTTGGTATATAAACCCAGTATATTTGAAATGCATGATTCGTATGGCGGAGGCTGAGATTGCTGTTTTGAACTCAACAGGCAGGGCTAGTCAGGAAGAATGACCGATAAAGACTCTAAAGTGGTCGTACGGGTTTATACGTCATTGGTCAGGTCGATAAGTCATTGTTCTCTATTTGGTAGTATCATTATGTTATATATTAATAAGGCACAAAGCCACAAGCTATAACAATATCTTATCATTTTCCGAACAGAGATTTATCGATTATTACAGATCTACCAAAAAGTGCCACTTTTATGACCATATACTGATCCGTAAAATTGAATCGCTTATTTTTAATCTCTCTAAGAACAATTTAATTAAATAACCAATAGTTTGACCCATTCTATGCCGATATAAGAGTACCTATTTTAATTCGACTCAATCGCGATTTCCTATACATCTGTGAAATCTTTTTGATTTCTAAATGTATATTTAATAAAGCCACCATTGTACTCGAGAGAAAAATCCTTTCAAACAACTTCCTATTTTAAGTATTATATATCGGGCGTTTCACCAAAGATTTTTAAAAAGCTCCCTTAAACCAAAGAACTATTTCATGTTTTTTTCAAGCATCTAAACAAAGATTTAACTTAATGATTATGGATATGTGTAAGAGATAGTTTATGACTAGCAGTGGAACCCAAGATGCAAGTTTCATCCTGTTCGGGACTCATCAGCTGGATGTACATACATCATAGTGTCAATGTAAACATTGGGACTCGAATTCAGTACCTGTAGCTTTAAACGCCAACAAGTTATCTGCTAACATACCGAGTTCAGATAACCACTAACATGTTCACTAGAGATGATGTTTATATGGATATTTCCTAGTGAAAATGAACTCCTTTTCAACTGATTATTCATGACAAATTGTATATGTGACAAGTTAATCAGGGTTTTTTTAGAAACTGTTGCTTTGTTTGACAATGAACATGACAACAATCAATTTTAACACATATATTTATCAGATAATACAACGTCATTTATCAGTTCATGGTAAATTACTACATTTTTCAAATCACAAGTTGTACTCAATCATCTTAATCTGAATTAAATATAAGTAGTACATATAAGTAGCTGACGAGTCCCAAATAGGACGAAACGCGCGTCAAACTGGATTCCACTGCTAGCCACTATCCATCTTTGCCTACTATGCTTGTGAATTTAGGCTATATCGAGGCAATACGCTCAGTATGCACATATGCCAATTAGAGACTGACCAGTTGCAGTCCTAAAAACATCAATGGGAAGATCCAAACAAACATACTAAGTAAATATATCATTTATTTATAACAATCTACCCAATGCTCAATTTATTAAAAATAATACTAAGTATATTTTATTGTTGTAAATTATTGAACGATAAACAACAACAAAATATTGTTAAACATTGATAGAGTGATGTATGCCACTTATGTCGACGGACATAAATAGTATGTAACACCAATCGAAAGTGGAGAACCTAACAGAAGAAGGTTAAAATGATCCAGTTGAAGAGAATAGAATGAGACTTTAAATTGGAAGAATCATACAGAAAGTGAAGAACAAATGATGAAAACATGCTAATGGAATATTCAATGTATGATTCTCATATTTTATTAAAATATTCTATTATTTTGTATTAAATAACAAATTGGTTATCCCCACCAAGTCTTTGTTCACCACAGTAGTACTGAATATGATATTGTTATTTATGAAAGCGATCATAAAAGAACTCGACAATGTTCAATTTTCAGATTTCTTTGTAGATGAAGCATGAATAATATAGTGTATATTGTTTGAGTGTATGATTGACCAATTTTATCTGGTCACTGATATTATTACATTAAATAAACCCTTGTTAGTAATGACTTAATTGGTTCTGTAATTTTGTTGTTTTTGTATCTTAGTAAAAAATTAATACCATTCTGGTAATTACCTAGTCACGGTCCACCTTGTAGGGTGATATTTACCAGTGTAAAAGTAGATTTGAAGAAAGATAGGGGAATCCAAACTATGACTTACCATTGGTCCATGAAGTCATGGACTGTTGAACTGAGCTATGCTGATAAATTCAGACCACCTAGTTCGAATCCAGATAGTTGTCAGAACTAGTGGTTGTGAGACAATGAGTGACATTATTTAAAATCAGCCACAGTAGAAGAAATCCATACACTTTTTCACTTTCCTTTAGATTTTGAGTTTTAAAGTCATTATGTACTTTTTAATTACACGAATTTCTTCTGGATTTGTATTGTCTATGTTTAATCTTCCCAATTACTTCTTATATTTACAGTAATCCTACTACTCTGGCATTTTCCCTGACCATTTGATTTCTCTGTGGTCACTTGGAGGGCAACTTGAGCGAATGCACATATCTTCCAGGACCTATGTTGCGTATGTGTAACTGATCGACGGAAAAGTTGCATATTTTTTCATAATCGTCTACTGAAACATACCAAAGTAATATTTATTCTAACCAGATAAACATAACATCTTGACTGATTTGGATGGAGAAAAATTAAAAACTGTAGACCAAAACATTCTGACATTAAATTAATTTAAACAAATAATGTCATTGGAAGGTGGTCTTGATCGTAAAAGAATTACTGAGCAGTACACTTTTAATACTGATATCCGCTTTATGAAAATCTAATAGAATAGGAAACACAAAAAATAAAACCCTACATTGAATAAAAGTCCTATGAAAATTGTGTAAAGTAGCATTTTTTAAACTCAGTTAGTTATGTTACCAATGGCATGGCAAGAGAAACTAGTCATAACCCATAAGCTTTATCAAAAGCATTTACTTTATCCACTGATAAGTAGCAGTATCGTTTGAAAACAAATTTTATTAACTTAAACAGTAATATTCAGTCCTGCAGTATACCAAGACCGGTTCTGTAGTAAACAATAAATCAGGTGGGTACAACCAATTTATTACCAAATATAGAATTATGGAGTTTTTTTGTAAACTGTGAAACCATACATTAAGCACCTCATTTACAAACCCAGCATCACTTTTCCTGTACATCCTTCATGGCTTTTTTTCCTTTTTAAATTCCTTTCTGTTTCCTTCAGTGTAATATTCTCAACCTTCTTTTTACAAGCATTCAACTTCTGATTGGTGTTGCATATTACTTGTATCTGTCAAAATAAGTAGCATGCACCACGTTTTAGTCTTTCTTGAGGTTGTTCTTCTTTACCGTAGTCTATTCCACTCTGCTCGTCGGAATTTCGGGTCCGTCTTTACACTGATCTCCGTAGCAATGTCAACCCGTCAGGCTAACTAAATCTGATGTTCACCCAACACCCGGAGTGGGTGCTGGATACAATTTTATTGCTAGAATGAAAAGGTGGTGTATTACTTCCAGGTTTTCACTGACAGTCTTACTAAGATCAATCTAAAATCTGTGAAAATTTTATAATCTACACAAAGCCCTAGACTGTTATTATTGTCTTAATCAGAAGTCTACTAATAATCATAACAATACAAGTAATATACTTCTTGTAGTTAATTAATCTCTGAGTAAATATTTTCATTTTATTATACATCTCACAACGAAAAAACTATAGATGGTTAGTTGATATTTATTATTATATCAACTTTACTCCAGTAATTCGAATGGAAAAAACAAAAATGTATGTCCGTGTGTTTTTCATCACATTCATCACACATGGATTCATTTGCTTTTCTGGAAATTCTAAAACGCCAATAAACAATTTTTATCAGCACATTCCAATCATGATATATATATGTATGTGTTACTATCCTTATTATTATTATTTTGATAACATTGATTTTGTTTATTTCATTATATTTAAAACAACATTTTATCCACCAGAAAAAAACATCCATTTTTAAAAAATGGGAAAACTAAATTATAATCAGATTTATAAGTAAAGATGTATAGTGGCTAGCAATGGAATCCAGGACGCGCGTTTCATCCTATTTGGGACTCGTCAGTTGGATGTACCTGCATCTCAGAGTTGATGTACACTGTGAGACTTGAACCCAGTACCTTTCGCTTCAAACGTCATCGCATTATCCACTTAGCTACTGAGTCCTGATAGCCACTTGCTTGTTCAATGGGGTGAAGTTATATTCACTTGTTGTTGTTTTAGTTGTATCTTCCCATTGCTGACGAGTCCAAAATAGGACGAAACATGTGTCCTGGATTCCACTGCTAGCCATTATCCATGTTTGCTTATTAAGCTTGTGATTTCAGGCAATATCGAAACAGTCCACATAGGATGCACATATGCTAACAAGAGACCAATCAATTGCAGTCCAATATAACAATGGGAAGATACAAGTAAAACAACAAGTGAATATAATCAGATTTGTTTATATCTTCGTATAAATAGTGTTATTTTGTTGTTTATACAAAAGATCTCATAATAAGTCTTCAAGTTAGTCTGTTATATAGTAGGTTTTCAAATAAAAATAATTGAGTATACAACCCATTGGATAAAGATGACAGTTTTTTCTAGTGAATTTTATCCAATCTCATTGTAGTAGATGTTCTTTAATTTGATTGGATTAAAAAGTTTCATTTTGAGGGGGGAGGGGGGCAGGGCATTATATTGAGTAGTATAAGCAATGAACTACAAATGATAAATTTGATGACCCATTCATAAATATACACATGTTAACCTATTCTGAAATAATCAAATTTTATTGACAATAAATGTGTTATAGTACTACTACTACTAATAATAATAATGATGATAGTATTAATCATTTACAACAATTTATTCGAATTATTATTGGATTTATTGGTATATTATCATTTATTGGACATTTTATTGCATTCATTCTATGGACTACTTATATTCTAGGTTGGAGAATAATAATAAAATGGAAATCTATACAACGTAAAAGACAATTAAATTATAATTTTATGATGACTAATCCATCTTATACTTTGACAAAAGTCACAAGAACAACGACGACACCAACAACACTAACCACGTTAATCGATCGAAATAATGTAAATTCATCAAAACAAATACAATTGCATACAATGGCAAAAGTCATAGCAACAACAACAACGACGACGACGCCAACGACAACAACAACAATCAATCGAAATAATGTCAACTCATCAAAACAAATCCAATCTATAATAATAACAACAACAAAGGAGACTTTAATATGGCCTATATGTTCATTAAGATTATCCATTCAAACCATTATATTATCCATGGAATTTATTAATATTATAGGATGTTGTACAGATTTATTAAGATTAATCTATTTATCTATAACTGGTAATGATTTACGTTTATTATATGGTGAATGGCAATGTCGTTTATTAATATTTATATCATTTATAAGTTGTGATATATCTGAATGGCATTTTGTATATTTATGTATTGAACGTTGTTATATTATATTATATTCAAGAAAATATTCTCATCTAAATAATACCTCAATGAAGCCAACTATCTTTATTATTCTACTTATTTATTTAATAAGTAGTATATCGAATATCTTTTTATTAATTCCATATTATTCTATTTATGATGAACCATTTAAAAGTAAATTAGTGTATATTGTGAAATTATCAATTACATTTATTATACCAGGATTAATTGTTATTATATCAACTGTATTAATGATTATTGTTTTAATTAAATGGAAATTAAAAAGCGCCAAATCTGAATTAATCAATAATAAGCATAGTAACCATGGTAATCATACTTATCATCATATATCATCTAGAATAACTGTAGCTAAATTAATGTTAATTTGTGCAATTCTATACTTGTTTATTTTATTATGTTTATTTATATTTGGTTCAATTTATGATGATTATTGTTGTTTTTTAATAGCTAAAAAAAATTGTCATTGGATTGATATACTATTTAATTTATTATCAATATTATATTGGTTTATATTAACAATAACTAGTTATGTATTAATGTTAGGTACTATGACTGTACGACATCATATACAAACTATATTATTATTGATATGGTATAATATATGGAATAGAGATTAATTTAGTTATATAAACCTTTTTAGTTTATTTCATTATTCATATAAATCAATGATAAAGTGAAAGTTTTTTTTATGCTAATTCATTTGGGGGGTTCACTTTTTCCCTTGACTACCTGTTCCAAATGTTTTATTTTGTGTTTTTCTTTTTTTTTCTTTTTTTCCATTACAATTTATAGAAAATGAACAGAGTATATGTTGTGTTCTGTTGACAATAGTGAATGATAATTTTGAAATCTATATGTGAACGAATATTATGTATAATTGCTAATTAACTAAACTATTCACATTCATATCTCCCTTATTATAAGCTTTAGTTTGACCTATAGACTATTATTGTATGATTTACTATTCTTGAATTATCTCTAGTTTATTAATTGCTGTCTCCAACACTCACAGCTACATTTGGCTGAATCTTGTACAAATGTTATTTTCTACTTTATTGATACGATGTGGTCAGTCTATTTGGTATATAAACTCAGCATGTTTGAAATATAATGATTCATACCACATAGGCTGTTATTGGTGTTCTGGATTTAACTGGCTGGGCTAGGCAAAAGCAGGACCGATACGTACTGTAGACTGCTCGTACGGTTTTCGTGTATCACTGTTCCAATCGATAATTCGCTGCTCTCTGATTGGCGGTCTTATGACATCATATTTTGGCAAGGCATCCACTCGGCCACAAGTTATAACAGTATATTACTATGTTATAACATTTTTTGCCTGATTCTCATCTCTATATTTTCATTTCATTGTTTATTTACATGTTGGCTGTTAGACTAAATTGTTGATAATTGATAGCTTCATTTGAAATATTGAACAAATCTTCAGTTATTTCTGTACCTACAAATATGTATTCATGATAAAGTCGATATTATTAAACAAAGATGGATCATTGCAGGTACACCCAGCTGACGAGTCCCAAAAAACGCGCGTCCTGGACTCTACTGCTAGCTACGATTCATCTTTGCTTAAAAGGCTTGTAAGTCAAGGCAATATCGAGACAATTCGCACAGGATTCACATATGCTAACAAAAGACTGATCAATTACAGTACTAAACAACAATGGGGAGATACAAGCAAACAACACCAAGTCACTATTAGTTCCAGTCAAATGTTAAAATACTCATTTGGTAAATATGTAGATACATGTACTTTTTCAAAAAAGTTTTTTTGAATAGATTTCGATCTAAACTTCATATTTACTTTTGCTTCCTTACGCCTATTATCCCCAATGGAGCATAGGCCGCCGACCAGAATTCATATTAGATGTGTGTTTTTATTCGGTAAAGAATTGAAAGAATATAAACGATTTACTATAAGATGATGATGATGATGATAATGATCCCTTCTTTTCTAAACATAGAGCAAATTTTTCACTAAAATAAGAATTTTAGAAAGTTATACAAAATAAAATAGCAAATTACAATAGGAGTGAAATAGGTCCTCTATGTTTTGAGTTATTCAATCTTAAGATTCAAAATGAGGATATTTAACAGCCAAAACCAAATACATTTCATATATACTGCTCTATCCTATCGTTATGGGTGAGTTTCATTGAAATGAACACATACAGCTCAGTGACTCTTAAGAGAATTGGTTAAATTTCGTATTTATGCATTTCACTTCAGATTGACTATATGGTCAATACTACTATTCCAAAAGTATAACACTCAATGGTTAATATTTCTATCAGAATACTCTCAATACATACTGAAACACTTGAATGTGTTATTTAATTTATGCAAAACACGAAAGAAATTCAACCTGAAACAAAAAATAATTTCAGACAACTTCCTGTTTCTGATATCAATGTCTATGACACTTTTAATTGTAGGTGTAGGGAAGTATGTCTTGAAATAACTATGAAACATAAGGCTAAATTATGGGTTGAATGTTTTATCACAACACAAAGGAAACTATGAAAAAGTTGAAATCCTGGTGATATATAAATTTATGATTAAATTGTTTTTTCCTGTTTGTACATCCAAGCTTTATTCTTGCCTCATTTGATTGTTTTTGTATATTAAATTATACTACTTATTAATATTCAATAGCTAACTCAGTCTTGATCAATTTAAGAACATGATACCTAACATACGTTGTCTATGGGGAGTTATTACTGTAGCGTTCTATTTATTTATTGTTGCATTGACTTTTTCTTAGCATTTTAATGGTAACTGCAAATTTATTTATGCTACTGTCTATGTTCATAACCTTCGTTTCCATTTTTGATAGCCACTGTAAATTTGGACACAAGTACTATTGATTATTGAAATTATCAAATGTTTGTAAATCATTTTAATCCAATTATTTTAGTTAAGAAGGGGTTTTGTGGAGATTTTAGTAATTTTTATAGAGTTGAGATCATGAGTCAATTGAAGCTAGACCACCGTGGAAAACCTGGAAGTTAACATTATTCTTCCGACTATATATAACAAATGCTGAAAAAATCCCAAGAACTGATGCTAATAAACATTTTGTATGTATTTTCTGATTTGTAGATAAATTCTCTTGTGGATGCGCTCTTCTGAGGAGTCCCACACTAGGATAAAACGACCGTCTAGAACTTCCAGGTTTTTAATGGTGGTCTAACGTTGATTAAGTCATTATATAAATCTAGACTCCAAAACCCTATACTGATGAGTTCTTTTGTTTTGAACTTCGAAATTTCATCTGTAATTTAGTTGTTTGATCATCTTGATATTTGCTGTTCAGTAAGGGCCTACAGTACTTGAAGAATTAAGAGCGATTGAACATCTCTGATAAGATCGGTTCTATTACGTAAATATATGACAACAACTAGCACGCAACACTCCAACATTCGGCTGCCAGCATAAGGAGATGAATTTCAGGAAAATGTAATATTCGAAATAAAACAAACAAAACACAATGATATGATGCAACTCCGTACAGATATTATTGAAAACATTACCTTCAAGAAGACAGAAATTCAACAAACTATAAGCAATGAGAACCAGTCAAGTAACAGCAAATCTTATTGCGGTTACTGTTAGTATCATCAAGGTTATCTTTTAGAAAAAGAACTAACATGTAATGACGAAAAGAACTAGACAACTTTGTCTTTTCTTAACAGATCGATATATTTAACAAGAGGTTTTCTCCATTTTGATGATATGAAACACATAAACTATCGTTGTTTTTCTCTTATCTTATCAAAATTCAATACCCATAAAATAAAACACTAGTAATCTTAAAACCTTATTTATTTTTATAGTTTATCTAATATTTTAAGTTTGCATTAGCTAATAAATGTTATTTTAGATCTAATCAGAAATAAATTCAAATAAGTTACGTCATTGAATAATATTGTTTTCAGTTAGATCCTTATCAGGTTCAATTCTAAATATACCAGATGAATAAATACATTTATCTAACTAATTCATCTACTCTTATGATAAATATCTAACTGAAATTTACTAATGGGAGGTTAAACGAAAAACAATAGTAGTAAGCATTTGTAGTTGATTGTTTTGAAGAAAAACAATTCAAATCAATGCATAACTTCATATTATCCTATTTGATTGTCATTACCAATGTAATGATTAGAAAGAAAGTATTTACAGTCATTTATCATATTTTGTCATTTTTCAACACTAACATTTGTATATAATATTCAAACATAGATTCCTATGATGGATTAAACTGCCAGATCGTTCATGGAGGACAACTCACCGACTCATTCTAGGTAAAGACCGGTGTTAGGCAAGGTTGCTTACTCTCACCCTTTCTCTTTCGCCTGGTGATCAACTGGATCATGAAGACGTCAACATCTGGAGGGAAGCACGGGATAAAATGGGCAGCTAGCATGCATCTGGACGATTTAGACTTCGCAGATGATCTGGATCTTCTATCACGCACGCAACAACAAATGCAGGAGAAGATGACCAGTGTAGCAGCAGCCTCAGCATCAGTAGGTTTCAATATACACAATGGAAAAAGCAAGATTCTCCGATACAACACAACATGTATCAATTGAATCACACTTGACGGAGAAGCTTTGGCGGATGTAAAAACCTTTACATATCTGAGGAGCATAAGCGATGAAAGCGGTGGATCTGATGTAGATGCGTAGGCGCAGATTGGCAGAGAGAGAACAGCACATTTACAACTGAAGAGAATCTGGAACTCAAAACAATTGTCAACCAACACCAAGGTTAGAATTTTCAATACAAATGTCAAGACAGTTCTACTGTATGGGGTGGAAACCTGGAGAATTACGAAAGCCATCATCCATAAGATACAGGTGTTTATTAACAGTTGTCTAAGCAAAATACTTCGGATCCGATGGTCAGACACTATCATTAACATTCTACTGTGGGAGACAACAACATTGAGGAAATCATCCAACTGCATCACAAAACAAGCCCTCACTTGAAATCCTGAAGGCCAAAGGAGAAGAGGAAGACCAAAGAACACATTACGCCGAGAAATGGAGAGAGATATCAGAAGAATGAACAAAAATTGGATAGATGTAGAAAGGAAGGCCCAGGACAGAGTGGATTGGAGAATGCTGGTCAGCGGCCTATGCTCCAATGGGAGTAACAGGCGTAAGTAAGTAAGTAATTCAAACATAGAATAATCTAAATCAATAACCTTAGTCCTTGTAAAATAAAAACAACTTCTTGATACTCTTTGTGATGTGATCACTCAAATATTTACTTGATTAGAGTGTCATTGATCTATGATACTGGTTTGTTTCGTAAATGGTCTTCAACATGTGATCATATTTTAAGGAACAGTAATGATACTAATTATGTTTGTTGATCATAGACAGTATTACCATCTTGATTACCCACGTTTATTCAGTAAATTATTGATTAACTATTATCACGTACGACGCAGTTTAATTTATTACTATTCGACTAATCATCACTTTAAATAAAGTATATGAAAAGTCAGAGTATTTAAGATAGAATTCTGATTTCTTTTAGTTATTGAATAAATTCTCATCTGTCGTCTTTATGCACTTACTTGCGTCGTATGATTCATGGGTCTAGTAAGTCAGCATTAGTTATCTCCCATTATAACAACTGTCGATGTGTTTTGGTGAATCAATAGAAAACTTTATCTGCATTAGTTTCGTCCTCTTATTTTCACAGAGTAACTTACAGTGGACCCCTTTTCAAAGTAACCAGTTGTTCGGAATGTCAGTGTCTTTCATTCTAAAGCGTTTAGTAGTGGTCTAACGGTCATAACACCTTTTCTTTACCATATACATCAAACACCTGATACACGACCTTATTATTATTTATTCCATGTTATTTATAATGATAAATAAATTTAATCAATTTCTCCTGAGGTGTGGTCTCTTCCGTCGAATACTTAAATATTTTGATTAGTGAATAACAGTAAAATTAAAGATCCATGTTTCATCTCATTAAGTACACGTCAACCGGGGATACCTCTATCCCAATACTGATATGTGCACTCAAATAGAATCAGTCTTCTACTAATTAAGTTTAGAGCCTGAACCTCTAAGCTTAA